AAAAAAAAAAAAAAAACCTATGTTATGCAGAAAAATAAGCTGAACAACTTTTCCCTCAGGGTCACATCAAAATTCTTCATCAAATTTAAAATAAAAGATCAAATTGAAAAATTATATATGACGATATATATATCGTTATATATATATTTTAATTCTAATTTGTCTTTTGGCCCGGCCGGGCAAGTGGTCCCGGGCCACTCTGGTAGCCTAGGGAACTAAAAAGGACGACAAATCTGTATGTTTTTTGCCACCAAATGCACTTGCTTTGAGAAAAAAAGGAGGATGACCACTCTGTATTTTTTTTTCCCTAAGTCTGCTTGTTTCCTTCTTCCCTCCACAACTTAACTTTTGCTTCTCCTGCAGCTCTGTCTTGCTGGAAACTGGATGTGTGTTTCTCCCAGTGTGCGCTAGCACTTTCCTAAATGTACCGCTGGACCTGAATGCATCTGACTGCAATCACGTCCAGAGCTGCATCGAAAAAGTCCTCGACTGAGTATGCCCTTAAAGAGGAATTGCACCGAGAAAGAAATTGGAATGGTCCAAAATTCCCTCAAAAGGGCGACGACCGTGAGATATCATCATTCAATTGACCGGCCGCAGGTAATTGATATTTATTATAATTTATTTTGATTGCATCTGGATTCGAACTGGGGTCTGTATTTCAACAATTCAGAGGTTTACCAACTAAGCTAGGCCCAGTGAGCAACCATGAAGAATCAACAAGCCGGTCGCAATGAATGCATGCTTGACTCCATATCTATGGCTGTGAAGCTAGATCAAGTGGATCATCACCATTCAGGAGTAAAACGAGGGTGGCAACGGCGGCAGGTCGGGGTTATGGCTCTATTGCGCTGGCCCATGTTCAATCTGACCGAATGAATGGCTTTTCCCAATATAACGGAATCGGGAACAATCCCTGCTGTAAATCTAAGCTGTGCCCTAAATCCCACAATAAATGTCGAATTCCGTTGCTCATATGATAGTATAGTGCCAAGGAAGCTAAATTTTGAACAAACTGAAGATTAACCAATGAAAATAACAAATGAAGTAAAAAACGGACAAATGAAGGATTGGGAAGTGTGGTGTTCATGTATGTTAAACCACCAGTACTTGGCCCAGCTATTGGCCGCGGGAAAAAAAAGAGTAGAAACGTTTCTAGTCGGATGAATTTGGGCGCTCCTGTCGTAGCCTGTACGTTTCCTAAAATCATGGCGCGTTAACGGGCACGACTCGAGGAAATACTGGTGGTTTAAATCGAAAGCTACTGCATTTTGGGCAAAGGAAGCACGGTGACAATATCAGTTGCGATGTGGGCAGTGCAGCATGGACTAAGTTGTGCGACACTGTTTTTAACAAAAGTCTAAGGGTCGGGCCCCGCTGCTGTTATGTCTGCGCGTGTAGAAAGCATGAACCTGGTCTAGCAAAATGGTGATGGTAGTCCTTTCTGAGCATAAACATATAGTCACACTCGTGGGGCCTGGCCGTATGAATGTATATATAGTAAAACAAGGACTTTGCCTCTGCTGCAGAATGAGTGCTTGGTAGAACAATGCAGCAATAATGACCGTTCATTGTATTCGGGTGAAGAAGCTCAGACTTTCCTAGATGCAACCGGTCACAAATTAGGACAGATGACCAATGAGCCTAGCCCAGTTGGTACACCAAAGAACTTTTGAAATGTGAAGACCCAAGTGTGAATCCTGATGGACCTAGATGTATGCAATGAAATAACTCTAAAATTCTAATTTACCTGGAGCTGATCAACTCGATGATGATGATATCTCGAGGCCGGCGCCCTTTTTCTTTGGAAAAAAAAAAAAAAAAGACAGATGCAGTCGAAAACGTCCTAGTATGAGTGTGCCCTGGTCCAGTGTGAATTATTGGGAGAAGCAGGACATATGATGTCAGGGGACAAGCACCCGGGTGAGGACATGGTCCTGAGCCCTCTGTCCATGGATTTTGCAATCTGTTGTCACGGTGACAAGATGGTTTGGTTCTTGTTGCACGAAAATTTAATTCCGAATCCATGGTGAGGGCATACTCACATGAGTTTTTCCTGAACGCTGTGGACATATTTCCGGTTAGGTTCGTGCATTGTGAGTACATGGGCGCGAGTTGAGCACACTCGATGTGCCGCATGTATAATCTGTACTTGTGATAGAAGGGGAATTTTTACGTTGGATGAAGAGGCTACTCATACTAGCAATTCCTTGCATGTATCTGGTGTCACCACAGAGCCAGATTCACCTGAGAAAGTTCTCGTGTGAGTACGACATCCATTCTCGAATCCAAGAGTCTGTCATGTTGACTCTCTATCTGGGTTTCGCCACCTCAACTCTCCTTTTGGGTTTAGCAATCTCGACTCTGCCTTTGGATTTCGCTATGAGTATCTCCTCATTTCCCCACACACTCCCGACGCATTGTTGTTTCAGCCTCAGAGCACATGTGTGTGTGTGTGTGTGTGTGTGTGTGTGTGTGTGTGTGTGTGAGAGAGAGAGAGAGAGAGAGAGAGAGAGAGAGAGAGAGAGAGAGAG